ACACATTTTCATATAAAAAATGCAGGTTTATATTTAGGTTATTACATATACATATTAATTTACAGGAGGCTGAGGGAGAAGAACTGCCAAGGTCAAGGTCAGCTTAGGCAAGTTAGCAAGATTCTGTCTCAACTTAAAACTTAAAATAAGGCCAGCATGATTATGCATGCCTTTAGTCCTAGCACTTGGGAGGCAGAGGTAGGTGGAGCTCTATGAGTTCAAGACTGGCCTGGTCGACATAGCGAGTGCCAGGTTAGCTGGGACTACAGGAAAACCCTGTCTCAAAAGGACCAAAAATAAAAAAAATTTTAAAATAAGGATTGGAGTTGTAGCTCAGTGGTAGAGAGAGTCTGGCACTGGGTTTGAAAAGTGTGTGTATTTGTATGTGATTGTGCATATTATGCATATATGCACATATATAGACTAATTTAAATAATTAACACTTTTAAGAATGTTGTTTGAAACTATTAGAGGAATATTTGCTACTTATTTATTGAAAACCTAAATGTTTAATGGTTTTATAACACATACTATAGTAAAATATCACATGACCTTACATATATTCAGAATCAAAAAATGTTGAACTTTGGCTAGGGGTTATAGTAAAATCTAAAGATGTAATTCAAGGCCCAGTGAGGTTGGCTCAGTGGGTAAAGGTGCTTGCTGTAAAGCCTGAGGCCTTGAGTTTGATCCCTGGCATCCATACAGTGGATAAGAATTGACTCCTACAAGTTGTCCTCTGACTTCAACACACATGCACTCATATACAGACACACAAAAACACACAAAACATATAAATAAATTTTTTAAAAAATGAACTTCAAAATCACTAAAGGCAAAGAAGAGACGGTTTAGGTATTTGTTTAGGTGTTATATATATACCATTTAGACTCCTTAACCTCCAAAAGTCTAAGAAAGGCACCCAGAAAATTTAATGAAATTTATTACTTAGTTTAATCATACAAATTTATGGGGTGGGTACAGTGTGATAAAACTGATATATGTATACAATGTGCAACGATCCAACAGGGTAGTTAACACTTCCATCTCCAAGTTTTAAAAACAATTTTTGATTAATACATAATACTTGAACATATTTATAGGATATAATGTGGTATTTCAATACATGCATTAATCAAATTAGGGTGATTAACAATTCCAATTCCTTATCATTACATCGTGTTTGGAGGAACTGAGCTCCTCTCTTCTAGTAATCAAAAACACAGAGAGGGCTGGGGAGGTGGCTCAGTATGTAAAGTGTCTGCCCTGCATACAACAGGGAGTCAATTTTCCCTACTGGTGTGAGGCCTGGTAAGTTGACCAGGCTCTAAGGAAGAGACTTACACTCAAGACAGATAATAGAGGATGTAAAGTCAGCAAGGAGTAAGGTGGGGGAAGGGAGAGGGGCAGTCTGAATATGATCAAAATATACTGCAAATACACTGCACGAAACTGTTAAAACAGTAAAAAAATTAAAAATTAAGAAAAAAATGGAGTTGGAGAGATTGCTCAGCAGTTAAGAACCTGACAGCTCTTGCAAAGGATCCCAGTTTGGTTCCCAGCACTCACATAGTAGCTAATAATCATCCAAGCTCCAGTTCCAGGGGATCTGAAGCCCTCTTCTGATCTCTGTGGGTACTGTATGACACAAGTGCACTTACACACATGCAGGCAATACACTCATATCCATAAAATAAAAATAATAAATAAAGTATTTTTTAAAATTTAAAAAACTGAGTGGTAGAAGTCATGTTTCTCCAACTGATCATTTGGTCATTAAATCATGTTTACTTTTTTAAATGAAAGAATAAATGTTTAATGGTTTTATAACACATATATTGCAAAATTTGAAAAAAAAAATGCTACAGTTTACTTAGATTAAATCAGGCACAAGTTGTTGCCAGAAATAAACTATCTTAGATAAAAACATGTACTAGGGAAAGAAAATCTTGCTAGGAATTATGAGATTTCTAGTCTCAACTCTGAGATTAACTTTCTATTAATACTTATGGCATTGTTTACTCCATCTATATAAATGTGGTTATTAAAATTCTTTCCTCCATAAATAAGGACAAATCAAAATAACATGTATAAGAGGTATCAGCTTGTCATTTCAAACCCATGAAGAAGCTGGATTCAGCAGCATTAGGAAAGAGACTGTGCTGGGCATGGTGGCACATGTCTGGAGTCTCATCACTGGGAAAGCTGAGGCAGGAGGATTGCAGCAAATCTGAGGGCAGCCTGGGCTACACAGTAAGCTCTAAGTGAGACCTGAGAGAGAGGGAGGGGGGGAGAGAGGGAGGGAGGGGGAGAGAGAGGGAGAGAGGGAGGACAAGGGGAGGAAGAAAAGGAAAAGGAGGGCCAGAGGGGGACAGGGAGGAAAAAGGAAGGAAGGGAGGGAGGGAGGGAGGAAGAGAGGGAGAAAATAGCCCCTAATCACAGTATCCGTTTTCTGTGGTCTCTAACCTAACCTTTGACATCTTAAGCCCATTAGAATGAAGAAGATGTTTATACTAATGCCTAAAACTTCTCATTTGACTAGCTTAGCTTGCTGTCCTTACTTTTCCTTTTCCTTTTCTAAATGGACTATATAGTTCATAAACTTAAAAAAAAAAATTAAAGTATACCTTACATACCAAAAATTTCACTTCTTTAAGGACACAATTTTTTTTTTTTTTTTTAAGATATTCTTTTTAACCCCTGTGCTGGAGATCAGGGATTGAACCCAGGGCCTTGCACATACTAGACACATCACTGCTCTATATTACCACACCTTGTTACTAGTATATTCATAATGCTGCTCAGCACTATCTAGCTTCAGAACATTCTCAGCACCCTCAAAAAGAAACTCTGAACACAATTAGTAGTCACTCCTTATTTTGTTCCTTCTTCCTTTTCCCCCAGTTCCCCAACCACTGATCTACCTTGTGTTTCTATGGATTTGCCTCTTCCTGAGATTTTGTATAAACAGAATCATACACAGCGTGATCTTTTATCACTAGCCTCTTTTACCAAAAATACTTGATACTAACAAAGTTCTCACCCCAAATTATTCTTTTGAAAACAGATACTTTTTGGGGGATACTACAAAGGTTTTCAGAGGAAGGGACATTTTCTCTTTGCTTTGAGGAAGAATGATATAGGTCAATATTTAGAAATCCTGACCAGCCCAATCAATTATAATTCTATATGGAAGTAAGAAATATTTTGATCCAGATATGGTAGTACATGCTCATGATCTCTGTATCCAGGAGGAGGCAGGAGGAGGCTGAAACATAATGAGTTCAAGGCTAGCCTGAGCTACACAGCAAGTTATCAGTCTAGGTCACAATGAGATGCTATCTTACACACACACACACACACACACACACACACACAGACACACACACTCACACACATTTTTGTTTTTCTCCCTGCTAAATAAAAAAGTTGGGATGAAATTCTATAGAAAAAAGTAGAATTTCTATATTAACTTATTAATGTCAATTATATTTACAAAACTAAGTAAA